TATAATTAAAGTGTCCAGCATATCTGTCATTTCTATTTCACATGTGTATAACCAATTGCGATAATGTAAATTTTAACATGAAGAACTGTTATTTAATTTTTGAAATAATTAGCTTGTCGCTACAGATATACGTTGTATTATCAATAATAGTGAACTGTAAAGTATTAATTAACTGATCCATTGTTTACTTATTATTTACTGGAATTTTTTTGTTCTGTAAGTTTTTATTTATTTATTGATTGTAACTTAAATTAAATTATTTAAATCTGAATTTATTTTGAAAATGAGTATTATAATTACCAGTTAATTGAGCTACACGTTCTTGTATCTTTTTTAAATCAAGTAAGACTTTATCTGCAGTAGCTTCTTCGGTTGTAAACTTAAAAACATTGAAAATTATTTCTCGTGCTTGAGATCCCAAAGGTTTGCCTTTTAATACACTTGTCATTTTAATAAATATAAATAAAAGTTTATAATATAGGACCACTCCAAATAAAAATGTAAATACTTGACAACACTGTCAGAAATCTAGCACTAATTACACGATGTGAACTCCTAGCCGACTGCAATAGAAATGAGCAATCCCTTCCACTTTTCAATTTGTTCTACGCGCAACCCGCCAGCTCTCGCTTGTCGGATATTACCGGAGGTAACAAAAATATAAACATTAAAATTATTTGATTTACCAGAATTTTTAAATTAATGCGTTAATTTTGGTGCGCATTTTTTAATATTTTTTAATTAAAACTCACTTATTACTAATAAGTTCAAAAACTGGCCACGTTTTAATAAATCAGTGGTTTTCTTTTCCAAACTCATCTTTTGAAATGAAAATTGGAAGAGCATATTAAAGAACACTTGACTTGATATGATAACACAACTATTAGAAAGGCAAAAATGAACGGGGCAGCTAAAAACAGGTAAAAAAGCGTGAAACGCGATATAGGTCAGTGCTTTCTAAGCAGCACACAGAGTCCATGCTCTTATATTTTTGTTGTGTTAAAAAGTTTTCGGAATTTTTATATTTTTAATATTTTATATTATGTCTTTTAGAAGATAATTGTGTAAAATGCGTGTTAAAAGTGAAACAGTTAACACTATTTCTTGTTTTATATATGAAAAAGATTTAGAATGTGACAGTGAAGACAAAATTGTACTTGTTAAACGTGGGAAAAATGCTTTACCATGTAAGAATTTATGGAATTAATACGCTCGTCGCAAAAAGTATCGCATACATGTTAAGTTTTGATTAGTCTCACCTACTGCTGTATATCTTTTTTTTAATGACAGTGAATGAAACAGAGATATTCTTCTTCTTATGGTGCCATATCCCATTTGGACGACAATTCTGGCATACTCCTCTTGATCTTGTGTGGCTCTAAAGAGTGCATGGACATCGAGGTTTGTCCAATCCCTTATGTTTTTAAGCCATGAGTATTTCATAGGGATATTTAACAGTGGTTTATTCCAGTAAAATGAGAAATCAAAGACTAATAGGCCAAAAAAATGAATAACAATGATTAAAAAAAAAATGAAAAATAAAAATCTATGAAATAAAGAATTTCAAGGACAAATTGAACATTTTCGTATCTGGTATCTGGTACCTCTGGCTCTAATGACGTCTCTCAATCTCTGTGGAAGGCTTCTTATCAGAGACCGTAGTAAGTACTCCAAATCTAAATTTTCCCATTCTTCCGTTAAAGCGTTTCCCAGTTCATCAAGGTTATCTGGAGCGATGATACGGGCTCTTATGCGTCTTTCTAGGTCATCCCAAAGATGCTCAATTGGGTTTAGATCTGGGCTGACTGCTGGTCAATGGAGAACTTGAATACCAAGCTCTTGAAGATATTGCGTTGTTATAATAGCTACGTGCGGGCGAGCGTTGTCTTGCATAAGTACGAAATTATCTCCAATAATTGGAACAAAAGACACATTTGTTTAAGAACCTCTCTTATATACCATGCAGAACAGCTATCAGGAATCCGCTACGAAACACTGTTAATTCTGTGACCTACAAAGCAGATGCCTGCCTATATCATAATCGATCCACCTCCAAAATTTCTGGCCGTACTTGTTACACTGAGCAAATCGCTTACCAGCGCGTCTGTAAACTGGGATACGTCTGTCGAATCCACAAAGTGCAAATCTTGACTCATCGCTAAAAATATTAGCCCAATCGACATGTTCTCAAAAGTGGACCAGTAGCAGATATTCGGGCTCTGATTTTAAAATTCCCGTAATTTGTTTCTATCCGAATTGACACTTATTACGGACTGGAAAGATCATTTCGCAGTTGCCTAGCTGTGACATGACGTGTACGCAAAATCTGCAACGGTCATCTGTGGGGTTCCTGCACCTGGGACATCCTGGAACATCCAGTGGCGCACCCAGGGGGTTTTTTGGGTTAAACCCCCCCCTAGGACCCTATTCGACATTGTTATTTACAAATTTTAAGGACTTAAAATAAGTTTCGGTGCCCAACCAAAACTCTCCCAAAGGAAAATTCTAGGTGCGCTACTGAACATCCTGGAACTGGTCTTTTTGTGTAACCTTCAGTGTCTCTATACCTTCTTAAAGATCTTGAAACGATTGATTCGTTGATTCCCATAACTTAACAGCAACATGTTGCTGTGATCGTCATCTCCAATTAAAGCTACGATTTGGGCTGCTTGTTCTGACGTGAAATTACTCATTTTTTGTAAAAATTCACCTCCTCATTGAAAAATCAAGCATAGTACACAGATCAAATTCTCGAACACAAATGTCGCAAGTCGCAAAATAAATATTCTCTCTAATCAACGTTTGGTTTAATTTCATTTTCGGCAAAAACACGTTTCAACCTTGAAATGTTATGGGTTTGTAGACACTTAAAGAAGACCTTAGACGAGTATTATAATATTCTGTTAAAAAATAAAATTACTTTTAAAATTTTTTTCTGTTTTAAAAATTATGATATACTTTTTGTGATTAGTGTAGGTGAGTCAATTATTACACTAATAATTATCTGAATTTTAAATGATTTTATCATGCATTCTAATAATATTGACCTTGTTTTCACAGGTTTTCCCATTTATGAGAAATATATCTATTTTTTCTATTATTTATAATTCAATGTTCTTGTCTATTTTTACCAATATTATTAATTATTAATTCACATAACATTTGAGGTTTTTTTTATATTTTTGACTAAATATTTCAAAATTAAATAAAATTGCTTTATGTGCGCATGCAACTAGTTTCCAATCACTAGCAAAAAAGTTTCCAAATACTGCTAAAGCTATAATAATTATTTTTAGACAAAGTTTTAAGGCAAAAGTCACAATAGCATAGATAATAGGTTTCTTAATATTGTTCTGAAGCTATTTTCTTGTGGCATTTTAAAGTAATTACTATTTAAATGGGAATAAGCCACAATTAAAGGTACGTTTATTGACGTTTCAATTTCCACTTCGGAAATCGTTCTCAAAATACAAACATTAGTAAATTAACAAATTTTGGCAATAACATTTTAAAGTAGACGACTTTAAAATGTTATTGCCAATATTGTTGAGTTGCGCTCCTGGGACGACTTTACTTATAAGATAGTTCATTCGATTACATGAAATCAACTTTAACTTAAGAATATCCGCCAGAAAAAATCATAACATGTAATTCGTCTTTAAAAAAACAAACACATGCCATGATGGCAGTAAAATTCTCCTGTTAGTGATTCCATAGTAAATTATGAGGGAAAAAACCAGGAAAAAAACCTCATAATACTATCCCGACATAGTAAGTATTTGGTCGTGCATTTAGTTTACCTTCAATAAACACCAAATTCTGATTTTATATGTTTGTTATTTAAAAAACATAAATGATGTATCCTCTATATGTTACTGACTTACTAATACTGGTATTTTCTTTTTAATAACTTCCTCTTTCAATATGGGTAACCAGATCCTACTACATTCTGCCGAGGAATTTGCGACACAATTGGACTCATTTAGCATAATTAGAGCCGCTTCTTTGATTTTCTCTTTTTACCATCGTTTCTTTTAGGACTATATTTGAATTATTCATTGAACCTATGTTAATTATCTCATGCGTGTTTACATATTTGAATCTATCAAATTCTCTATTTTTAATATAAGATTGATGTTCACTTATTCTAGCATTTAAGGGCCTTGATGTTTCACCTAAATAAAACTGATCGCATTCACAAGGTATTTTATAAATGCAATTCTTTGTCCTTTCTTGTTCATTGTTAGGTTTGGTTTTGGACAAAATAGATCTCAACGTGTTTGTTGTTTTGAATGTTGTTGAAATGTTGAATTTATTTCCTATCCTTTTAAGTTTTTTCTGATAATCCTTTTATGTATGGTATTGTTATTTTCCTCGTATTATTCCTGTTCTGTTCTATTCGATCGATTGTTGAAAATTCCTTATTTATAAACGATAAAGGATAATCATTTTTTAATAAAACAGATGTTAACAAATGTTTTCCTCCAAGAACGAATTTTCGTTAGAACAAGTAATTTTGACTCTATCGTATAAGGATTTAATGATTCCCTTTTTAATATTAATATTGTGATTTGATTTGAAATTTAAATATCTGTTGGTGTGTGTTGGTTTTCTATATATTGGAAACGTCAATAAACGTACTTTAACCTTTAATTGTGGCTTATTCCCATTTAAATAGTAATTAAGATAATAGGTTTCTAAAAATATTTTTATTATTTTACGAAATACAGCCCAATATATGAAAAGTCAACCCTTTCTGCAGGTACTTTAGGATTGTAAATTTTTTTATTCAATAAACACTTTCGACTTATTCCAAATTTTTCATCTTTAAAAAATTTTGTGTTCAGTGATTGGACTAACCGAAGGCTCTTTCGGTTAGCGATATTCTCAATATTCGACACACCTACTCTCGTAGACATTATAATATAAAAGCTTAAATATATTATCGATATTATAGTGATTTATAAATATAAATGTTGATTATCTATTGTTTCCTACAGACTATAAAAGTACCGCCGCCTCAAACGACGGCAACACCTGCACCACCGTCACAAGCCGCACCAGCTATCACAACAGCAGCAACTGCTAATTTAACAACAACTGTCAGCGTACCACCACTTACTACTACAACGACAACGATAGCTGCACCAATTCAACCGGCTGCAGTTCCAAACGTCGTAGTTCCCGCGCAAACGACGCCAGTCGCACCCGCCTTCACGCCGAGCATAACCGTCAAGCCATCACTCCAGGCCGCCCCTATCGCCCCAACGGTGCCACCTCTTATTAAGTCGATCGAGAAACTGCCTGTTACAACTCACTTACCTCCTACCGTTCCTACGATAACGCCTCCAACTGTACCTCAAGCTCCTAAGTCGGTAGCGTTACCGACTCCTTCGCCTGATAAACCTAAACCTAATATTATTTCTCCCATTGGTACTTTTACCGACCCTATCGAACAATCATTGGCTAGTCTTGAACACGATATTAAGCAGAACGATCCTATGGACGTTATAACGGCGTCTACTATGATGCAAATGCCTACTACGTTGAGTAATCCTGTCGTGTCACATCCACATCCTAGCTTAAACTTAAATCCAACCATTAACCATCCTATTTTACAGCCTAGCACACTTAGTATGGACTTGAAAGCGCCTATTATGGGAACTATGGCGCCGAGCAATACCATGTTACATCACGGATTGCAACAAGCGATGGAAACGGATATCACGATACCTCCACCACCCACCAACATGTTACATGGGCAGAACAACGGTTTTGGCATGAAACACAATTTTGATCTGACTACAAATAACAACGGTCTTTCGTCGATGGGACTACCGATGGAAATGTCGATATCGTCAATGTTCGATCCGATTCCGCAAAATATTAACAATCCCATGATGAAAAACGATTCCCAACTCAAGATGGACGATCGCATGGATACCTTAGGCGGACTTTTGAACGACAAAAAGTCCAATCCCCTCATTCAAAAGCCGATGTCGCAATCGTTTGGCTTCAAGAACGATAAACCAGATCACAATGTCAAAAACGCTAGTTCCTGGTCGAGCTTGGCCAAAGGAAAATCACCACAAAACAATATTCCGGGCGGCAGCAGTAAGCAGCAAGTTATGGATAGTTTTAAGGCATTCCAAAATAAAGCTAAAGAAAAGGCCGATAGAGAGAAACAAAGGCTGGAGAACTTAGAAATGAAGCGGCAACAGAGGGAACAAGCGGAAAGGGAGAGGTTACGAGCCGAAAACGAAAGGCGAAGGGAACGAGAAGAAGAAGATGCGCTCGAGAAAGCAAGGTAAGACATTGTGTATGATATAAATTTATTTTTTGTAAAATCTAGCTAAGAGAAGTTATTGTTTTTTTTTCTATTTAGAAATTGGTCTTGTTATGATTCAAAAGGTCCTCGAATTGTAGAAGATTTCTGTCGTATCTATAAAAGAGGTTCTTGATTTTTCATGTCTTTCAATTTATAATTGATGTATATTCCATTCAGTGTCAACTGTTCTTTATGATTCCGTACAAAAATTGTTGCAATACAGCTGAAGAAACAAGCAGTTATTTAGTTTTTGTATTAGATCTATCAGACCCTGTTTTTTGACACATCTTCTTGGGTTATTCTGCTAGAGTTCGGATATCATCTACTTATAATTTCTAGGCCTGTCTCATCTGTTTACGTTCATCTTGGCCTTGGTTTCGATTTCCATTTTGGAAATAACGATTTTGTTGTTTTGGTAAATAGTATATGACATTTTTGGGTTAGCGATACCGTGTTACTGTGTAACTGAGGTTGTTTTATAATTTTTATGAAAAGCGTAAAAACACGTCAATTAATATTTGAAGGGGGAGACATTATGTTATATTTAACCTTGCTGAGAAAGTCATCCTCCCACCCCCAATTATTTTATTACAAACATTTAGAATGAACATTTCACTACCAAAAATTTTTACAATATTTGTTCAAAATGACTGCCTTCCATTCACTTCCATACAATAGTACAATCTATTTTGAAATTCTTTTCTGCCATTGCTTAACACGTCTGCATTTAATTCTCGACATTCATCCTCTATTCTTTGTCGTAAATCATCCAGAGATTCTGGTTGAGTAGCATACATTTTTGTTTTTAAGTATCCCCATAAGAAGCCTAGGAGTGTTAAATCCGGTGACCTAGATGGCCAATCCATCATCTGTCCCCTTCTATCCATCCAACGAGGGGGAAAAGTTTCGTTTAAAAATTGCACAGGTAGAGCAAAGTGTGGAGGAGCTCCATCGTGTCGAAATACAACCAAATCTTCGGAAAGGTTATCATCATTTTCTACTATTGTTCTAATACGATCAACCACTTGCCTAAGTAACTCAAGATACGATCATCATTTGAGTTTCCAGTGATAAGAATGTCCGAAAATCTGATCTCGGATACTCAATCAATCAATGGATGATTGCCAACCTCCGTCGCGGAGATGGCACGTAAAGAAGATATTTTGAAGAATCTTTCACTGTTTGTTTTGTTATTTAGCACATATTTCTTTGCAGTTTTACATGGCTTTTCTGCAACCGGAATAAAACTCGGGGTTCGATTCATTTACACTATTTATCTACTCTCTGTACAATTGTTTTTGCTTTTCAAAAACACAGCCTAGACCCACTCCATAAAAATAACCGGTTTTGATATAACTATTGAGTAATATTCTAGATAATTCAGAAAAATCCAGAAGTGGGTCATTTAGGTGGTTTTCATTATAAGTTTCGCAGTCATTGTGAATCTTTTGCAGTCTCGAAATATTTTTTTTCTGATCCGATCAAGGAAGCTGCCTAGTGCAACAAAACTAGGCCAAATTGACAATGCACAGTTAACCCCTTAGTGTTTTGTTCAAATTTAAGATGGATGGAAGTATTCCACTTAACAAAATATCGTTTCTTCCCACTTTATGAAGTACCCTGTATATTTGAGTCTAACCATATTAGTTTTCCTTGTTTCGTTTATTTGACGACCTATTTGACATTATAGGAAAGCTGTAGCGGAGCAGCAACAGCCCATAGCAAGCCAAAGGGTAGAAGAGCTGAGGTCGTCGCCTGGTGAGGGAAGTACGTCGCCAGGTTCCTTAAGTTCGGGTTCCGAAAGGATATCGGAGAGAGAAAGGCAGAGGTTACAGGAACAGGAACGGAGAAGAAGAGAAGTGGTAAGTAATAGATATTAGAGATAGAGTTTATTTCAGAATATTGTAAGAGTATTTAAAACCAAAATGTCATCAAAATCAAATCATTATCGGTTAGTTTACTTAACAGTTTTAAAATCAAACTATTAGGGCTAGTTTATCTACTGATTTTTGTTCTTGTCTGGTTTCAAAATTGTCAAAAAGTCATAAGTGAAGTTATTTGTTTGAACCTATCTCTAGACATAGCAGCTGATATTATACGACGGCAGTAAGCAATATCGTCACACCAAAGCATATCGATCGCCTCTTTCGATTCATGAAAAACTGCATTTTTGATATTTGATATATCATTACTAATTTGTAAGTCCTAGAGCATGTCTACGAATATTGGCCTTTGCGCGTTTCACTTTTATGTTTTTTTGCCACTCAGTTCCATATTTAGATACATATACCGGTAAGCTTTCAGAGTCAATGACTGTTGGTTCATTTTGGTCTATGCTTTGATCAATAATAAGGTTATTTTCTTCTATCTCTGTTACATTGTCTTCATCTACTAAATCACTTGCTGTATCCTCATTGATATCAATCTTTGGATCATCACTTTCAAGTAAATGTAAAATAAAAGTTTTTTCCGCAAATCGCCAGGAAATTTTGACATTCCTGTCAAAATTTCTTGAAGAAAAAGTCAGGACTTCCATACTGTAAGGAAATGTCATTTCCTTACTGTAAGGAAAAGATATTTCCGTACAGTTGTTAGTGTTCTACATAAATGATAGAAAACACATTGCTTATAAGGAATTGAATTGAATTGAAAACATCAAGTCATTGCTGAATACATTTTTAAGATCAATTTGTTATATTTACAGTAATTTGACAGTTAGTACAATTATTGAACATTGGAGGAACACTCTTAGAACTATGAGAAACATTTTGGACAACATGCAGGGTTTGACAATTCAACAAGTTTCAACCTCAATACGTTTCCATAGTAACCCAAGTAATTTTATTAGGAATTTCAAAGCACCATTTATTTGGGAATAAAATTATCGCGTTTTTTTTTTAAATCAATCAATATCTGTCGAATTTTAAACGATTTGCGGAAAAATAGTATGTTTACCTCGTAGGAAAAGCCACATTCCTGGACTCTGTGTTGCTAAGTCTCGGCTTGCGCCTCGACTTAGCAATCTTCACAGTCGTCCAGGAATGTTAAGCTTTTCCTACCCGGTAAACAATGTACTAATATTACAAGAAATCAACTGACACTGGAACCTAATATATTTATTTATATTATTTCGTTAAATTTTATCGTAGCTCGGGGAATTCCCCATTTAAACATGTAAAATAATTGCAATATGTTTCATATAATTTAATTTTAAAATATTTATTTAAAAAGTTAAAATTTAATTTGATTGGTAAATTTGATTAATTGTAGTTAAACAATACGCCATATTTCTTAGTAATGCTGTGAAATTGTAATATTGTTTTTTTTTTTATTTCAGATGGCCAATAAGATAGATATGAACATGCAGAGTGATCTAATGGCTGCTTTCGAAGGTTCGTTATGAACGGTGATAGTCGCGTGCGTTTGACTGAATATTAAAGATAATAGTAAAAGAGACTCCACGAGCCAATTTTTTGTGTATTTATGTATTTATATGACAATTTTAATAGGTGTTAAATAAAATGTTAGACGCTCAAAAATTTTTGAAAAATGCTTCCATTATAATGAGTTTCGCTTCGGATATATACCTCTGATTTCTTTGAGTTGATCATTTTTTGTGTTCGTGGCTTGACTCTCGATTTTAAATATTTTTTTATATATAATATATAAGTTGGACATTTTCAACATGGTTTGTATATATAACACTATAAATTGATTATAAAGTTGTACATAATGATGTTGGGTTGATTATTGTGTTAGTTTTTACTTTATTTTCTATTCCTCCTTGTCATTGTTTTATTTTAAAGCATCTTTTGACTTTAACGGCTACAGGGCGGTCCAAATATGCGGCCCAATCCACTTGCAGATCATTTCAATTATAATATTAATATTATTTTAAAATATTTGTACAAAACGAAGATGAATGTGTTAAATTCAAGTGATCGGCATTGGATTGTGCACCTGTGCACACCTTTGAATTGTTGGCGTCAATGTTAGGACGACTCTTTCAAATAACCTTGTCCTACACATTGATCTACAGTTGGTATTTAAATTATTAAAGCCACACGGAAAGGATTTTTTGTCTTAAAACGATTTTTAAATGAATGACAAGGTAAATTTATGTTTATTCATTATTGTTCATAAGTACACTTTATGAAGTTTAAAAAGAGTAAAGAAATTGGGCTTTAACATGAAAATATTTAAAATTGTACCTTATGTATAATATTTGATAATATTACCCATTTCTTCTTGCTTTATCTGTAAGCTCGACATTAATGAGTTGGATATCTAATTTTTTCATCAACTTCCAAAGATTTGAAGACTTTTACTGGCTAATTTGCAGACCAATCGAATATTTTTCCATATAGATAAGGTATATAAACATACTATTCGGCATGATATACACATGCTGCAACTCTAATCATTTCGCCGGTCGGAGGAATACACTAACTTAAAAATACGTCATTTTGCACACCTCAACGACATTGGGTGTCCGGTACGTCAAAAAATCGTGCCAGCCTATTCATTTATTTATTTCATAAAGTGTAATAACCTACTTATTAGTGAAATAAACATTAAGTACGTTGTGGCTCAATTGCAAATCATTTTTGATCAAGAAGAAATTTTACTATGTGGCTCTAATAATTAGGACATGCACTGTACCTATACCTTTAACGATTGGTTAAAATGCGATACTCATAGTATTTAGTTTAGTAGATGATTACAGGTTGTATACTTGTTTATTTTTTTTTTTTCGTAAAAAAAATCATAAAAATGATTAATGTTCACATAAGAGTGTACTTTTAAAACAATTTGTCACGAATGTAACGATGTTCGATAGTTTAAGGGATGCAATTAAACGATATATCATTAATTTAATTACAAATACCTATCCGATTTGGTTTTCCTCAATTCAGAGCCATCTGCCAGAACTTACATCTCACTACAGAGGGTCTGAAAATGCATTTTTTTGCTCTTATTTATGATATAAACTAGTCTGCTTGACAATAATTTAATACAAATTGTTTTTATAATTTTATTGGATTATTTTTAAAAGTTTGACAACTGACGTAACTGCATACATGAATTGACATATGAACTACTTGATTTGACAAATAAACTACTTGAGTTGATAAATGAACTACTTGAATTGATCAATCGCGATGGTATAGTGGTCTTGATAAATGGCATATTTATTAGAAATGTCATTAATTTTGCCACTAAAAGCATGAGGATTAGAATGAACTAAGAACTCTACATTAATTCTTCTATAATTTGAGCTTGAGTGTTTAAAATTTTGACCCCTTCACTATATTTGCTCACCACCTGTACATAAGTGGGGGTACACATGTTGAAATTCTTATTTATCTATAGTTTTTTAACAAATTACGTGAAGATTATACATAGAAATATAAAATTTCTATAGATAATTGGTAATTTTTAGTGCTTTTTTAAAAAAATTATACTTTTATATTTTCTCTAAAAAATGCATTTTTGGTTACCCGAAAATTTTGGTAAAATCTACCCAAAGGTCACGTGTAAAAAGCAAACACTTCTCGTTTTCTATATTTATATCTAATTAAAATTTCCGACCTATTCAGTAGATGTGAGCCAAAATTATAAGTTTTGCAGTTAGAAAATCGTTAAAAAAATGTTTTATTAATCACATAAGGTCTAGTATTTTTTTTCAAAAACGTTAAAAAAAGTTTAAAAGACAAAAAGATTAAATGAAGATAGCATTATTTGAAATTCAAGTTTATTCACTTATTATTTGGTTAATATAGATGTGTACACTTTTGTAATTTAATATTTTTGCAAGTTGAAACAAGTGATTAGTTGGCAAATCGAGATTTTTTGGATCTAGCCGAAACTTTTAAATTGTATTTTCATCCAATGTTTTAAAAAGTAGATAGCTAACCAGCGTAAATTTCTAAAGAATGTGTAGACAGGAGGGAGCTGTGCAAAGAACTTATTACAGTTCCCTCGTATGTGATTATACAAAAACAAGTTAATAAGTTTTCTCCCAAATAGTAAAATGTGAGTATTTTATGTAACAAGTAGTGTTTTCCCAATAAAGAATTTCCTTAGTTTAATACACCTTGTGCAATGTCTCTTTAATTACCAGATTTTGTTTTTGAATAATGACTTCACATATCCATTTAACTTTGTGCCCATTTCTTAACTACTAAAACCTTTATCAATCACAAATTTATTCAGATTTTGAAATAGAAGTCAAAGAGAATTAAATCTGTGGGTTTTTTCACATTTAAGGATATGTTTAGATACAAAGGTCCAAATCTGGTTAATAAGGTGGATGGTTCAACAGTTCAGACTCCCAGATCCTCATTTTTTATTTCCAAAACGCTTTATGTTCCTGTAGATTGTTCTGGTGAGCATCAATTTTCAAAAAACTGATAGATTAAAATCTGATGTTCTGATTGACATGTCAAGTGCTTCCATCGTTTCATTACTCAACCGTTTTTGTTAGGAATGTGAATGGATTGCTATAAGCAGATAGAGCTCAATCTGGCAAATAAGGAGAAAAATGTGAACAGTTCATGCTTTAAATATCAATTTATTGTGGTGTAATTTTTTGGTTGGACGCATTATCATAGTCAATTTGGATGTTTCACACAAAATTCTTCAAATTTTGAGGTAAATCAAAATGAAAGTGAACCAAATCTTGTTATTAAGGTTGGTTTTTCAACAGCTTCTACTTACAGATCTTGTAATTTTTTATTTGCAAAGTATTTTTATGTTCGGGTGTTTTATCTAATAGAAATCTTTTACTCAAAATTAACAACGCATGATTTTAAATGAATTACAATCGAAAGGAGCCAAATCTGCCAAATAGGGAGGATATTCTCATTCGTACTTCTAATTTCCATTTCTCAATCGTTTTGAGGGAAGCTTGATTTTAGGTGAAAGATGCCGTCTTTCTTCTTCTCCCTCTTGCTATACTTTTTAAACCATTGGATATAGTATCATTTAAAAGATAAGCTTAAGTTAGATTTGAAGAACTCTGCCTTTGTACATTTTTCGTAAACCTTAATAGCAATAATTTTTCTGTTCTCAGACACGCACGCGTTGTTTCCACGCGGTTGTGTATATTTTCGTGACCGTCGGACTCTTATTTTAGGCTAATTACCATCCTCAATGAGCTCCGCGGACGAGAAATATTAGCGAGCGTTGAAATTACCAAAAAGGTTTGAATGTGGACTATTACTGAAGCTAATATTTTAATAAATACCTACAAGGGACCAGTCTTCATTAGTAATTGCTTGTTTTGGTGTCACTATTGTTGAAATGACTTTGTTTTAGTAGTTTAAATCAAAAGAATCCGTTTCAAACACGTTTTAAAATTAAACCAAACTTGTTCTATCGTTTGTTAATCTGTGATGTTGCTTTGGAACAGATGCTGTAAAGTAATCAATAGAAAATCGGTTCTGAGCCAGCACTCAAATGCTAGGATCATCGAAAAGAATCTTCCATCGTGGCGGGTTTATAACATTCTAAATAATACACGAGATCGTAATTCAATAAATCATGACTTAGATTTTTCATCAGTCTCAACAACTTAAATGTTTGTACAAAACAACGCAAATGAAGGCTTCGTCCCATTATTGAAAAAAAAAAAATTCTGCCACTATTAACCGTTTGGTATAAATTATTGACTCCTAATGACAGAATTATTATCTGAGAACAGAGTCGTTCTAGGAATTATGATAATGGTTCTCTTTGTTGTGTTTTTTTATTTTATTTTTGCTTTTTCTTTAAGAAAATATGATGTAAAAATATCTGTAACATAATATCCTGATTAGTGTGTAGAAAAGTGGTTCACATTACCAAAACGAAAATGTTTCCCCATTCGTTGTGTAAGTTTATTACAGTTTTTATGGCGTAACAGTTCTTTAAATATAAATGTCCGATCAATTATAAGGTAAACTTAGATTATTGTTTGATATATATTTTTTTGGCAACTGTAAGGTCGCGAAAAAATGCCTTGGATAATTGTCAATCGAGTAACGTCATCTGTAAAAATGCTTATGTTTTATTTCCACCAATGACGTATAATAAATAGACCCAGCAGTCGTCTTAGTAGAAGACATTATTAAAATATTAAGTAAATGACCCTCATAAATTGAAAATAAAATATGCAAACACACAAATGATGACAAACACAATGTCAGCTTCGTAAAAAATCGTGAACTTCGTGCAACTTCGTATCAAAACAGTAAACAATAACAAAGGCAATCATGTTTGTAACACGTTATACCCCAGTGGATGAGTCTATATTATATATTATACGTCATTGATCACTTTACAGCTGCTTGAATTTTATTATATATAAATAAATTTTTAAAACTAATGACACATTTAGACTAATAATTGAAATCAATCATGTTTTTGATGCAACCTCTTACAGCCAATCTCTTTTAATTTTATATATCTCTTTTAGAAAGGAAAGTTGCCAAAATAAAATATATTCATCCATTTTGTATTATTTTCAAAGTGATTTTTATAATGACCATATTTGGGGTGCTGTTACGGAGCCCGTTTAAAACGATTTCTACCATTTTTTATAAACTTGATTTATTACCACATTAATTTATGTAACAATTGTAAAATAATTTATAACATATGTATGGCTGTTATCTATTTTTTCATTATTTTGAATTAAAAGTCATGAATAGTGATGTTAGAATAAACATTTAAGAACTAAATCTGTGTTTTTATGAAACCTTTTAAAACTCCCGATTGAACTCTTCAGTCAGCTCAATATGGACAACGTGGGAAGCTTTTGAGAAATGGCTTTTTGATGTGGTACGAAAATGCCACTGGTGGGGTAAAGTATTTTCCATCTAAGAAGACCGCTTTGCAATTAAATGCTGGTAACTTTTATACTAGCGGACCAGATAAGCGGCGATATATTTTACACTACCTTTATGAATAACATTTTACTGTTCTGTTGTTTCAATCAACACTGCTCAACAAGCTATCGTTTATTCTTCTGCTAGTGCCTATCCTCTATGGATGTTGGCTACCACAATGGCCCATCGTATTTTATTAGTAGCTGTTCGAAATCGTTTATTAGTTTTAATACACTGCGCTCCAAAATTAACGCATAATTTTAAAATTCTTATTTTGAGTTGTAATGAAAAAAATTTTTTTTTTGTTCTTTTCTACTTTATGGTTGTTTTAGAACATCTTAAATAAAACTATTCTTTTTTTACAAAAAATGTATTGAAATTAACGATATAACATCCTAACATCTAAACGAACTGATCTAAACAAACTAACATCATAAATTAATGAAGAAAAAGTTTTTAAAGTTGAAGAAAATACTACTACCGTGTGCTAGTATCGAGTATTGCCTCCTCTGGCATTTATTACTGCTTGACAACGATCTCTCATACTGAGAATAATCGTTCTGATTTCTTCTTGATCAATTTGATCCCAAATTTCAACCAACCGCAAAAACAGTTCATCTAATGTGTTTGGTGCATTAGGTAGTTGTCGTAGTCGTCTGCCTATGATGTCCCAAACATGTTCTATTGGGTTAAGGTCAGGACTTCTCGCATGCCAATCCATGGCAGGAATTCCAACCTCCTGACGATACTGCTGCACAATTCTTGCCGTGTATGGCCTGGCATTATCTTGCATAAGCATGAAATTATCCCCAATAAATGGTACAAATGGCACGACATGCTCTTCTAAAATGTCTGTTATATACCTCTGCGATGTAAGCCGACCGTGATTTATTTTAACTAATTCCGTACGAGCCTCTAAATTAATTCCACCCCATACCATTACCGAGCCGCCGCCATACTGTACAGTCCCTACGGTGTTACACTGTGCGTAGCGTTCCCCAGGCCTTCTATACACTCGGTTTCTCCTGTCATCAGAAAAAATGACAGTACCTGGATTCATCGGTGAACAATATTCTTCCCCAATCGTCATTATTCCAATCAACATGTTCACGAGCAAAATTCAATCTTTGCCTTCTATGATCTCTGGTCAATAATGGGCCAATTGGTGCCCTTAAAGGGTGTAGGTCGTTTTCGGCAAGTCTTCTTCTAATTGTATTTCATTTTGTAGAAAAAATTCATTTTGTAGAAAAGTACTGGAAACAAACCTTTGTCTCAGTGTACGAAGTGTCAAAAACCGGTCTTGATTAGGAGTTGTAACCTTTTTACGGCCTTGACCGGGTCTTCTCGAGTTACTTCCAGTAACAGAAAAACGTGTTAACACTCTTGAAATTGTTGACTGGGTGACGTTAAAACGTTCAGCGAGTTCTACTTGAGTGTATCCTTCTTCGCGAAGAGTAACGATTCTAAAACAGTCACTTTCTGACAAATTTCGATTTTCTTGCTGCGGGTGGTTCATTTCAAAGAAAAAAACACTTAATAAACTTGAAAAACCCCTTTAAACGTTCAGCACAACGAAATCCAACCCAATTAAATTCGAAATAAAATGAAACACAATTAGCATGTTTTTAATTTTTTTGCAAAAAAATGATAAAAAACATCAGCGTTTTTTACCGTTCTTTCGATAAATTTTGTAACGATAATATATTAGCACAAAAATCGAAACATTAAAATTATTTAATTTACCAGGGTTTTTAAAATTATGCGTTAATTTTGGGGTGCAGTGTATTTTATTGCAATAGTACGAGTACGGAATATTTATTTAAACAGTGAATTTATTACATGTGCACGATCTTCTTGCACGAAATCCATTTTGTTCTTCTATGTCTTCGTATTTTGATTCAATTCTTTCTATTATTATTCGACTGTACAATCTCCCCACTGATCTGATAACAGTTATTACCCTATAATTAGAGTATTTGCGGTTATCCCCTTTCTTGAATATTGAGCCGATGTATCCAATATTCCAATCATCGGGGATTGTAGGATGTAAGTTAAATGTTATTAGAATTTTCCGTAATAATACAAAAAACAAATCGCTAAACTAAACTATATTGAAAAAAAGGCACATGTAAAATATTTTGTAAGCGATAAATTTAAAACTAGCGTCCTTAACGTAACGTGATTGTGTTGAGACTCTCGGAGTGTAGACTGTCTTCTGTCCCAACTTCAGACAGTATTTCATTCATCTTGTTGTAGAAATCGTCTTTACTTTCTATATCTGCATCTTCATTTCGGGCATACACTCAGACAATTACGATGTTGGGTCCATTCTTTTTCATTTCCAGTATTAGCATTTATTGATTTGCTTCAGCCCAAGATTTAATATTGTTTTTAAGACTTTTTCGAATGGCAATAGACTCACCTGTCTTATCTTTACTCACTCCACTGTAGATGTGTATATATTCTCCTCTCTCTTTTCTTTTCCCTTTTTGTTGGTCTCGGTGAGAATACATATATCTGTTTTCCTTTTCTGCTAATTCTTTGAATGCTTCTACTTGTTTTATTTTAAGTCCTTGTACATTACCATTCATTTCGTTCAGTCTTTTGTTTTGATCCATCCTTTGTATTCCGAGGTTTTTGGTCGAAATGTTTAGCATTTATTTCTTTTGACAAGAGATATGAGTTGCTAACCCATCGCCTCAACCCTCCTTCTTTATTCGGGCTCTGGACCGGCACCGGCATGTACTGAGCTACTCAATCCACCCAGCACTTTCGAAGGCGCAGTTAATAATAAAGTTAAATACATTTTACAATGAAATAAATTCAGTCTTATAAAATCCCACATATTATATACATTATACAATTATTTGAAAGAATAACAGAAAACAGTCCACATTTGTCAATCGAACCCATAATAATATTGATAAAAAAATATTCCAATTTCTTTAATAACTTTCCCCGAAAGCAAATATTTGTTTTTACTGTTATGTCTTATAGATCAATATTTAATTCTGGCGCCGCAGATTGACACTCTGTACTGTGCTGCCACGAACGACAATTTAAACAACTACTACAGTTATCATTCTATTCTGTTTGTTGATATTAAACGAGAACTATGTTTTATCTCTTTCAGCACCTTTCCCCTGTCATATATCTTTTTCAGTTTTTCGACAATGACAAAGAATGCCATAATGTTTATTAGATTTGATTCAAGGTCAGTGGCCCAAGTACTAAAAGTTGTTATTAACTTTTGTATAAAAAAAATTAATTTTGAAAGTAATAATGTAACGTTGGTTTTTAATGGAACAACAAAATTTTTTGGTGGAGTAAATACTCACTAAGTAGGTAATTATTACACGATCACAGTATTGCTTAATTTGTTTATATACATGTGTAGATTTGACACTAATGCTAATATTTGTCATAACAATTGTATATTTTATTGTAAATTCCAGATATAATTCGGTGTTTCCTATTAAAGTGTTTTAAAAACAAGTCGTTTTTATTTATTGACAGTAGTCTTTAGTTGTCATTATTAAATAGTTCCCGGGGGGTTCATTACTATGAATACAATGAAGTAAACATTGCAGTTTATCCTACTCCCTCTTTTTTCAGTACGTTATGGAGGATAGTTTGAGCGTAAAATCTACTGAATCGGTAGCTACTAGCGAGGAATTTGATTTTATTGGTGAAAAACCTGGTGTTTCCAAAACTCCCACCTTAGATTTTCAGGTAAGTTTTTCCTGGCTTTATTATAGCCATTATTGGTTCTTTATTTGACAGTAGTTTTAATAGCCTAATAAACATTAAAATTCTTATTCCCACCTTAGTTTTAAAATTATTGTAGGTATATGGTTTACATGCACTTTTGTAGTTAGAGAGTTGAAAGGGCATTAACTATAAAAACAGTTATGTCATCCTCTGGCTGGTTTTTAACTTCTGAATCTTTATAAATTGTCTTGCCAAGAGTCTGATCTTTTGAAAAAATGAAAAGATCAGTTTGATCTTTTTTATTATTTTGTTTTAACTTCTTCAACTTCTAATCACCCCCGAATATTTACCCTTAAAACATTATTTATTCGAAATAATCTAAGTCTCTAAACCACACTCTTATATAAATTTTGAGAATGATTTCTAAAGTGGAAATTGAAATGTCAAAACACATATTTTAAGCTGAAATTGTGGTTAATTCTTATTAAAAATATTCATTCATAGGCTAAAAAGAGCAAAGAGAGGATCTGGTTTCTATATTAAAAGCTTCTAAACAATGTTCGCAAATGTAGGAAATTAACAGAGAAGTAAATTGTTGAAATAATTCAGATATTCAGAAATAATATAGATTCAATTGATCTAAATAAAAAAATGGCAATTTTAAAACAATATTGTGATGAAAATTGCTTAGTATAGATACTACCAAAATTAAGGTGGTAAATTTTATTAATTTTAGCTTAAATCATTCAAGAAAAGTTCATTTTAATATGGTATGCAGCAATTTGACCTTATTTATATTTTTATCAATTTTTGAGTAATTTTCATCTTTTTTACAACTTAATTATCAGTAAGACAATAGTGTGTCCATGGAGAAAGGAAGTTATCTGTGAAAAAGATTTTAAATAATATTTAAACTATTTGATGTACTGCTTCGAAATTTTTACCACATTGTTCACACTATATGACCAAACTTTTCACATAGTAGCAAGTTTGTAGGTTAATGTTTTACAATGGTTACCAGGATTGATTGAAAATTAAGAATTTTTAAAGTGAGGAACAGTTTTTCTAAGCTATATATGTCGACATCAGGTGTACCACAAAGTAGCAACTTGGGTCCTCTTCTGTTCGCTATATTTATTAACAATTTGCCTCACTGTGTGAAGTTTCGACAAGCCTGCTATTTGCAGATGATTTTAAGATTTTTCAAGAAATTTCATGTTTAATGTATATGGTGAAGCCATTTTTGAGGAAGCATTACTATCTCAAAGTGAAGGAATAATCATTAACGGAAGATCTATTAACAACATAAGATATGCAGATGACACTGTGATTATGGCAAGCTCTGCTGAACAACTCCAATTACTGATAAACAAAACAGTTTCTGTGAAAAATATGGACTAAAAATGAATATAAAATATACCAAATACATGATAATAACAAAGAAAACAAATATACCAACAAACATACATTTGGGAAATGTACGGATAGAAAGGGTTGATAAATACAAATACCTAGGAACCTGGATTTCAGACAATAATGATTAAACAACCGAAATAAGAGCTAGGATAGAAATAGCAAGAAATGCGTTTGTAAAAATAAAAACAATTCTCTGCAACAAAGACCTTAGATTAGACTGAGTGTAAGAGCACTGAGATGCTATGTGTTTTCTATACTGCAATATGGACTTGAAAGCTGGACATTGAAGCAAGAACACATAAATAAGTTTCAATAAAAATAAAAAAGTTACAATATCTGGGACAGGTAATGAGGGGACAGCAATATGAACTTCTAAGGCTGATAATACAGGAAAAGATAAGAGGGGGAAGGAGAATAGTGTCATGGTTGAAGAATTTAAGGGACTGGTTTAAATGCAGTTCTATAGAACTCTTCAGAGCAGCAGTAGATAAGTAAAGATAGTGATAATGATATCCAACCTCTGATGGGGAGACGGCACTGAAAGAAGAAGAAGAAATGTCAACTCTGCAGGTTTCTGAGATGCTGCAATGTGATCTGAACTCAGTAAGTCAATGGTTCGGTGATAACAAAATGTTTCTAAACACTTCTAAATGTTATGTTTTTACTATCACTCGAAAAACACAATATGTGGAGAACCAATACAAAATTTCTAGCACTGTACTTGGAAGAAAACACTTGCAAAGGTCTTGGAGTAATGTTCCAGCAAAATTTGAGATTTAATCAACATTATCAGATCATCATTGGAAAGACATACAGAACTCTAGGCTTCATAATTCGTAATTCAAAATTTTTAAAAAGATTTGAAACTCTAATATGAATATACAATGCACTGGTAAGACCTCACTTGGAGTATGCCTCTATTATATGGGCACCACAAGCTGAATTCAATGTTGATCTGATTGAAAAGGTTCAAAAACGATTCTCGATGTTTCTTTATGTCATAAAGTTTGGTATCTATCCATACATGATTTCCTATAATACAGTGCTAACTTGTTTTAAAGTTGAGTAACTGGATAATAGAAGAAATTTTCATTCAGCCCTTTTTATTTCTTCTTCTTCTTATAGTGCCGTGCACCTATAGTGTGTTGTCGAATTATCTTAAGGCCAGACATCTGTCTTTTGCGGCATGCAAAAGATCGCAAGTGTTATTTATGCCTGGCCAGTTTTTTATGTTCCGTAGCCACGACATTTGTTTGCGACCTACTCTTTTGCCTTCAATCTTTCTCTGGATGATTAGTTGAGGGATTGTGTATTTTTTTCCTCTCAGAATATGGCAGAGGTATCCATTTTTTTATATCCCTTTTTATTTACTATGTTGTAAATCACATTAAATATAAAGGCTGCTTTTTTATAAATAATATTAAATTTAATGTTCCAAAAATACATCCAAGAAACAAACAACTGTTCTCAACTAATAAGACTGATTTTTCACCCATAAATAAGATGTTAGAATTAACTGTGATATAGACTTTTTAAATTCTTCTGTGAAACAAATAAAAGATGCTTTTGAAACAAATTTCTAGTCTGCAAAAATTGTTGTCTTAAAATTTAATATAGATATATAGTGTTTTTTACTTGTTTTATGCTGTCTAGGTTTAGTTTTTAATATATGTATTAGTTTTTAGCAGTAGTAAGCACACTTTTAATGTAATAACAATTATTTTGTGTTTTAAAGGAGGTTAAATAAATAAAAAAAAAAGAAAAAAAAATTAAACTATTTGATGAACTACTTTGAAATTTTTACCACATTGTACACACTATATGACCAAACTTTTCACAGCAGTAGCAAGGTTGTAGGTTAAGGTTTTACAATGGTTAAAAAGAATTATTGAAAATTAAGAATTTTGAATTATTTTTTATTTATTTAGAAGACAGTTACATTTAATTTAATTTTAAATGCTTTTGTTTTTTACTGATAAACAAACACATTAACACACAAACTTCATTTTTCAAACTATAATTTAGATCACGGAAATAAGTAAAAAAAAGACCATTTTGGGATCTCCAATAACCCAGCTTAATAATGGTAAGTAAAAGTTCCGTCTGGATTAAAGGAACCATTAAAAAGACAAGTACTTGAAGTCTTTCAAAACTCTAAAAAGGTCAAAACTCTAAAAAGGTTTGTGATTCAATAGTCCTTTGGCAATATATACCTGCACTTTCCTATTTGCTAGCCTGTTACCTGTTGTACAAAAGTTTTCTTGATAAAATTGTACTACATAACCTTCACAATCATGGGAAAATATGAATGAAATTATAATAAAATGTTTTATAATTACAGTCCCGTTAAATAATAGTTACATATTGCATAATCATTAAACTTGGATATTGTAATTGATTGTTTTAGAACGGAGACCTAAATGAATTGACGAAAGCATTGAAAGAAGTTTTACAAGAACCTGACTCTGTAATGAGTACCACTGAAAGCGAAGAGAAAAAAATTGGACAGAGTACATTCTATGGCAAACCAGTAGAACTAGGAATGGACCCATTAACTCAAGGACAGTTCTCGCCAATTGACCATTCAGACTCTACTAGGATAGATTCCGGCAGTGAGGAAGAATGTAGTAGTATGTCATTTCAATATTTTCCATTATTATTAATGTAGTTAACGCTTTAGGTTGTTGAGTGGAAGTCATTAATTAAGCTTTGTCTTTTATAATATTGAGTTATATTTATAAAAGTTTCAGATGTTGATCAAGATTGTACGATATTCTCGGGAGTAACATATCTGGGTGCAGCTGCGATAAATGCCCCCAAATCTGAGGGAGAGATCCAACGGAATATGACAATTTTGAATGAGCAAAGTGTGGAACAAGGGATTAAAGTTGCTGTGTCCGTACCGTCATCCTCCCAGGGACTTGTTGTGTAAGTTATTATACTTTTTACTCATTTTTAAAATTTGTACTTATTATTAACATTGCTAAACATTTTAGCACTGTACAGTTACATGGTAAATGTGTTGCAATTGTAAATATCAAATTCTAGTTTGTTTTCTACACAAATAATATAGTCATAGTCATACTTTATTGATCCTTTAAGACATTCAAAATAAATGTATAGAATACGTCACTACAGGATTCAGTATAAAAAAACATTAATGCATATAATACAATATTCACAGTGTAACAAAATTGACAAAACATAAAATATATAAAATACCATTTTTACAAGTAAAATATGAAGCTACTGCAGTTTGTCCTCAAGATAGTCATTTATAGAATAATATACTTTCCTTAAGAGTAATCTTTAACATTTTTTTAAATTTAGAGGAAAGTGGTATTTCTTTCACCGTTTTTGGCAAATGATTGTATAATGTCAGTCCCATATATCTGAAGCAATTTTGAAATTTGGATGTTCTGTGTTTAGGAACACAACGATGGCTTAGTGTGAAAACCTCGTATGTCATTAAATCACAATTTTACAGGAGAGACAAAAAACTGAATTTCTGCATACTCTAACCTAAAAACAAAAAACTATCTTTACATATTTTTAATTTGAGCACATTTAGATTGTTATACATAAAATTTTAATATATATTTTTATTGCTTAATTTTTTACCTGACTTACGAGGTATTCATTCTTAAGTTCCAGATATACTTGGTTTTCACATTAAATATTTAATGTATACGAGTTTTTCATATTAGTTAATTCATGTAATTCTGTTTTACGTGGTTTTCAATCTTAAAAGGGTTATATTAAAACAATAAAAATACGTTAGCTATTTAGTTTAATGACATACATGTAGTTACAAAATTAACATTAAGCCATGAAATAATTGAAACACTGAAATCATTGATTTTGGAAAATTGTCCCACTCTTTTAGCTCTTTAGACGCAACCCTTTAGTTCTTAAGTACTTTGTTTAGTCCACTCTTACCCCAAGAATACAGGAGCACTTATTATTTCTTTTAGGCCTACACAGTTTTCCTAAGGACTTATGAGGTAGTGTGTCGTAGAAGAGATGAACATCTCTAGGTATTACCGATTTCATTTCCTGAAGATGTTTGAACTTATTTGCTTCTAAAGGAATCCGGGCTTTGTAGAGAGAGGGAACAACTACTTCACCGTCGGGTTTTCGTACCCTTCTCGGAAGATCAGTAAAATTATCTTCAAATCCTAATTTCACTTGCACCGACCAATCTGATTTATATTCGATGCATCGGAGATCTGTAACAACGGGGTCTCCTTTTTTTAATCCTGGTCTGATTGATTCGATGAATTTGAGGCTGCTATACTCTTTAAAGAAGTCATGGTAGATGTATCGTACTTTGTATGGTTTAGGATTTAGTCTGGCTGATTTGCAAGCTTCTTCGTAGCTTGAAGGAGAGTAAATTTCCCTATTTTTAAGCTTCCGTTCGATAGTTGCATGCATGGAATCGCATTCCATTTGAGTGTGTCCCTTGACCAAGAATTTTTGAGTGATGGTTATGCCGGTTTTATGAGAAGCGAGCAGAAAGGCATTAGCCAATATACAGTTCCGGTTCTGGTATGTACAGCCATCACTGTAAAAGATTACATGATCGTAGGCACTTCTATCAATTTCAGTTGTTATGAAATTGTAGATGATGGTTGCAAACTCATCTGCATTTAGACCGCCTTCACACTCATCCCACAAATAGCAGTGTCCATCCAGATTAGTAAGATTGAAAATGGTGAAATTGTGGACCTTGAGCTTTGTGCGATAGTACAACGCAGAAGCATTTAAGTATGGACTAAGCAAAACTGCTTGTAGGTCCATTGTAAATACAGCAGTTTTGCTGTTGGTAGAGTTCGCATGATATTTGTCTTTGTCTTTCTCTTGCCTAGCTTGTTTCTTTTGTTCAATGTGAGCATTATAGTCATCTTCGCTAAAATTTCCTACTTTGAATGAGCAACAAATGTCGCACTGATCTTTTTTGGGTTGAAATAAGCTCAGGTTGCAATCATTAAATACTTCGTAAAATAAACATATCGACGATAAAAAGTTAGTTTTATTTTGAGACTCGCAGTATTCTTGGTACAACCGATACAAGTGTGCCTTTGATTGCCATTTTGGTTCTAAATACATCTTTTTGGTATCTTTTCGGCAGTAATGAGACTCAAGCTTCGGTAAAGATTCAAAAAAGGACTTTAATAAATCTTTTTTAGCCTTATTAGCTGCACTCGTCCTTGTATCGATCGATTCTTGCTGTTCCTCAAATAGTTCCTCTTCATTAGAATTTTCAACTTGGTCTTGGCTTTTCTGGATTTTACCCACCCAGTTTAAAACTGACCATTCTCCAACAGACAAAGTGTTGAGAAACATTTTCTTACAAACTCTTACTTTTTGTAGCTTTTGAGGAGTAACCAGATGATAAAATAACGACTGATTTCTCCTAGTTGTATCTTTATCCCCTCTTCTTTGAGCCACAGATTTTTTCATAACTAAACTTTGCACAAAGAATTTTCTTTCTCCCCATGATAAGGACCAAAACTGATCAAATACGTGTTTTCTAGTTTCTTCAGAAACAGTGGCACATTGAAATGCTGTTTTAGATTTACAGTTGGCTCTACAGGTACAACGTGGTTTCATTTCTTTCCTTCCTTTCTTAACATCGAAAACAATTTTTCCTGCTTTAGTTTTCCTCCTGCCAAAGTATTCTTCCCCCTGTAGCCTTTTAATTTTGTTTTTCTGCTGAAACCATGTATCTTTTTTGGCTTTTCCTCGATTACTTCGACTTCTCTTCCTTGACTCATTAGTTTCATTTTCTGTGGGTTCTACGTCACAATTGGTAGAACTATTTTGCACTAAGGGAACATACTCAGTGTCACTTTCCAAAGTTTCGTTCCCTAAAGTCTGGTCGATGGTTTCAATTTCAATATAATTTGAGATATCCAATTCCATTGTAATATTTGCAGACTCACTTCTAGCGTTAGGTTCACTATTATCACCAAACAAGTAATCAACGTCAAAAGTAATGTCTTTTGTTTCATTGTTATTGCTCAGTGTAATATCATTTATTGATACTGCGTGAATGTCTTTTTCGTCACATCCTTCAAACTGTATTAATATGCCTTCTTGATTATGGTATTCAGCTTCAGACCTGTTTTCCTGAAAATAGTTTGTATTTGAAGTGCCACAATCCACGCCAACATGTGGCGTGGATTCACATTCTGTAGTATACAGATTCAGCAATTGACCTTCTTCATCTGAAACAATTAAAAATACTTTACCTAAGGAGTATAATCAGTTAAGGTGTAGCAAAATAGTCTTATTATAGTTTTTTATAATAAAATCGTACACGTTTCTCGCATTTTTACAAAGCTTAATATTTTGTAAACTCTTTATTTAAACTTGTACAATCTAATTTTACCTGAAGTGACAATAGCCGGGTTGACTGCACACTGTGATACTGTAATTGTTGTCGGATTATCATTGTCGTTGACCAATTGAACGCTTAAATCTTCGTCACCTGAAAAAAATAAAAATAAATAGTTTACTTAACGGGTTTTAAGTTTCTAATTTTTGTCTCTTCTGGCAATACAACTTAAAACATCTAAATTAGGTACCTTAATGCATACTTTCAGATCTAAAACAAGCTTAGGCTTAGTAACAGGTCTATTAGTTTATAACTTACCTTGAGTAAAGTTTCTGGTAACTGAAATGGATTTAAAACCACTACGAACACGATCTGCGTCAACTGTTTTTCCTTTAAGGGCAAGGTCTAACATTACGCTTCCTCTTGACATTATTACCTGTAAGGCCCAAATATTAGGTTAGAAGGTACATATTTTTCTTATAACAAGTAATATACTTTTATATCTTATTACTGCTGAAACTAGGCTATAAATTAATGCATTTTATGAACGTTAAATGTTCCTACTAAAATAGAGATACAAATATTAACTATGAAAAACTTGTAAGTATCCTTGTATTAATAGGGACTTTGCCCAAGTAGCTATGATAAACTGGTATATTTTGATATACATGTTTTTCATATAGAGTGAGGTTGTGTTTATGATTATTTACGAGGTTTTCATTTTTGATAGCCTAGTGCACGCCTCCAAATACTATGTTAATACAGTACAAATCTTTTAATTTAAGGTTAATAAAATGTTTTTACTTGCCTGACTACAATTCGTTGTTCACAAAAAACACTTCTCCAAGTCGAAACTCTTAAAACAAACACTTCAAATTAAGTAACAAATTTTTGGTTATATACGTGGTCTTCACACTAAATCAAGAGAGCTACTGATATACGTGGTTTCTTTTTTCGACTGTAGGGGGCAGCCGGGAGTACTTGGATTTTTTATAATAACTGTAAATCGTGAGATACGTGGTTTTCGAACGAAAAAGATCAAAATGTCATTTTCGAAAAAAAATGAGATACGAGGTATTCACACTAAGCCATCGACAAACAAAACGAGATTGTTATCTTTGTACCACAAAATGGATCTCATCTGAAAACGACACTTTTCTCTCATATTCAAGAGTCTAGTTCAGATATTTTTTGCCTAAATGTATCGTTTTTGCATCCACAGTAAATTTTTGCAGTCTAAAATTGTTCATCTATCTTTTGTAGCTGTTTTTATATTGCTGAGTCATGTGCAATAACTGTAGCATATGCTAGGTCTTGCTGAAGATCTTAGCTTGTTTTCCTAAGGTTTAATTTGCTTTCTATTGAAAAAGCTTCATCATTGGCTGCTGCCTTTCTTCTTTTTTCACATTTCTCCTTTTATATTCTCCTCTGTGCTACTTTTTACTTCAAAATATTGTTTATAGTACCTAAACTTACAGCACAAACCTTGGAAATATCAATATCAATCTTAGTGCGCTTTGTGGTAGACATCTGTAGCTTCTTTACTCACTGACACTGTCAGAAATATGATGTGTTCACATTAATTCACGCAATACTGTAGATATAAAAACCTCAGGTGGTTTCAGTAAGTTTAATGTTTCTTACTAATGTTTTTTTTCCAGGTTATATGATGCATTAAGCAATTCGGTGATATCCCGATATGAGATACATCGTATTCTGTTTTACGCGCGCGGACCAGCCGACAGTCCAGAGGCCAGTTGCTTCGCTTTTACGTGGTCCCACGGAGAGACCCAAGAATCGGCCATTTTTCAGTGCCACGTGTTCAGATGCGACATAGGAGAGGCTGTTTCGCGCGTTTCCTCTTGTTTCGCAAAAGGTAAGTGAAAAACACTTCATGTATAACAAAAATTAACGACAGAATGTGGAATTAATTCATTTATTAGACTAGATAATTTGGATGGGGTCATCACATACTAACACTTTGAAATATTGGCTTATCGAGTCTGATGAATATGTTTTCTCACAGCCGAAGCTTACAACGAAAATGGAAACTTATGGAATTTAAGATAATTAAAGAGAGAAATAAAGTACCAAAATATATTCAAAACTTTCAGTCATCTTCATAAATTTGACAGCTGCATATGATATTGTATGTTGTATCTGATCTATACAGTTTTATGTGTAACACTCTGCCTGAAACGGCTCTTCCAAGTTACCCTGGATTATAAAATAGAAAAATGTAGTACAGGGTCGGGAACTGAGCCTTGGGGGACTCTCAATATACACGAAAGCGACAAATAACTTCTATAGTGACCTTATCAATATTTTTTAAGTGCTATTCGATTTAATGATCAATTACATCATATACTCTCGTAAATAAGAAATAGCAAATTCAAATGGCCACAAAGAAGCCGATAGCATGCATTTATTTAACTACCTTATTAAAATTCCCAGAAAATATATTAAGTAAAATGTTACATTGAGCTTGAATTTCTTTAATATTTCTCTCCCGATGTTCGTCGGCGAAATCTTTCATAAAACGCTGAAATGTTAATAAGTTCCAGAACCTATCTATCACAATGAGCACAACAAATAATTTTCCGTCCTATAAATCAACAAAGAAATAATTCAGTGGCGATAAAAACGTGCAGCCGAACAAAGAAACAGCCATATCTTGGTGTTTGGAATTCATAAAATTATCAAAGAGTAATAAATCAAATCGTTACTGTTTTGCTAGCAGACCTAATCAAATCCAACAGCTATTAAACTTTGAATGGCTGTTAACGTAACTTGATATCTCGTACGTTTGTTTCGATACAAACCCTTTTTTAATAAAGATAAAGTTTATATGCAACATATTGTTGGATGCTACGGGGGTTGTTAGAGATTTTCTGACGACAATGTGATGTTTGAAGGATTTTGTTGGTCATTTGAAGATCTTTTAACACGTTCAACGTTCAAGTCCGACAACGCGACTGTCGCGTCAGAGGCCACCAACGCGAGTTGCGCAGTCTTTGACTATATGACAATATATAAACGTTATCTCAACGGATTTTTCACGGATTACGACAAATATCTGCTTGCCGCTTGGAAACACTGGCATATACTGGAGTTTGTTTTTGGTTTTCGAATTTTGATGTTAAATTTTATTCTGGGTATATGACAATGTATGGATGATAAAATACGAAATCCGCAATTTCATTGCTTACTTTTCAAATATTCAAGCTAGACGTGTTCGAAAACGACAATATTAGCTGTAGTAAAAGGTTGTAAAGTAATAAAAGTAAAAGCATCGGTAAGCTTTGAAATAATCACCAGATGTATTTAGATTATATTGCGTTTCCAATAATTTGTTGTATTATCATAATCCAATCCCATCGGTTTATTTTGCTATGCAATGTACGTGTTTTGCTAAATACTTCAATTTTAAATTATTTTTACAATTGAAGTATTGGCTGGATAGGCTTCATTATTGGTAGGCTTTGTTGTTGAGCAATTTTGGCTTGTTTGAACTGAAATCTAACTTCTCTTTTATGATTTTTTTCTATTACTGGTTTTGAAAGGTTGGCTATGCGTTTGCCTATGTCTTCTGGTTTTGGGGCTGTGTTTGTGCCAGAGTCTAGTTTCCTTAGAAGGTTCCATGCGGTGCGGCTACTGTGTGTGAAATTGAGATTTTCTAAAGTTTCCCTCCACCTTGTGGTCCTCGCGGTGTTTAGGGTTTCTAAGAGTTGTTCGCCAACTTCAGGATCTCCAGATTTCTCATACTGATCAAGTAGTTCTTTACATTCGTCGTTCCAGCTTGGGATGTAGGATTTGGTAACTCCACGTGGGATGTGCTTTTTTCCACAGCTAATCATTAGTTCTACAGCAAATCTTTCATAATTTTGGACCTCTGGTTTGATATGTCTTAATCACTTTCAAGTTGGAATTTAAACTCTTCCCACATTGCCTTACGGAAATTCCATCTTGGCAAAGGGATTGAATTTATAATAGGGATGGTGGTGCCCAATGTTGTAATTATTGGTCTATGTTGGGATCTAGGAAAGTTATCGAGAACTTCCCTTGTGGCGTTCTTAAAGTCGTTTTTTGAGCCCCTTTCGCTGGAAGATATAAACGTGAGATAGTGAAACTCAGCCCATTCGGCGATTTGTTCTCCCTGTTGATTACATTGGTTATATCCCCATGTAGTATAGTGGCTGTTAAAGTCTGCAGTGTATATTGTCGGGTGAGAAAATGTAGGAAGTACGTTTTGTGGCCATTCAGTATTAGGTGGTTTGTATATATTGACTATAGTTATTTCGTCTACTTTCACAGCAAGTATAAAAATCTCTTGTGTCGAGTAAGAGTGACATGTGCTGTAATGTTTGATGTCTGCTCTACAATAAGTCGCGATACCGTACTGAGCGTGGTTGATTGAAGATATTAGTGTGTATCCAGGGATTTGGCCACGGTTTTTTAATTGTAGGTCGTCAGCAGTATGTGTTTCTTGAACAGTAACCACGTCATTTTTGTTTTTTGCCAGTAGCTTGTTAAGATACTCGCTTTTGCTTCGGCTGATGTCTTCAATATTTATTTGGCATGCTCGAATTGTTGGTCCGATTGTCAACTGGCTCTGACAAGAGCCATCATTTGTTTGTTGTGTGCTGTTGTTCATTGCAATTTGTTCGCCAGGAGATCTACGAGAGACAGGTATGGCGGTTCTATTGTTGCTAGTTCATTTAGCGTTACCCAGGGTGCACGTGTACTATTCTACTACTGACGCGAACTAGCTTTACACCCCATGTCATTACCTGTCACTGTAAAACGTGGAAGTTCTCTTCATACACAAATTTTTTATAAAAATACAATAAAAAAAGAATTTTTTTTAATTACTTATCCAACAGCCCTCGTATTTAAGGACTACGTATAGTAAACACTACTTCTATTTTGTAACACGTAGTTTTTTTAAACAGCTTTTCAAAGAGTGCCAAGATCCGTGAGTACAATGAGTAGTTCCATAACGTCTGGTGGTGACATTATGACCGGCTCTATCACCACGAATTCCGAAGCCAGGATATTGATGTATGTTTTCGAGGTTAATCTAGAAATAAAAGAAGATGATGGCAAGGTAAATACATTAAATTATCTTAAATGGTTTATATAATTTAATAAAAGTATAAGTTACAAATTGCTGAATTCTTCTTGAAAAAAATGTACAAAAACTAAAAAATAAATTTTTCATGTAAATTATAAACAATTGTTTAAATATTTAATTTAACATGAAAAAAGCACTCTTTTTAATGCTATTTAACAGGAATTTTTAATGTTGTATTTGTTGATTTAATAACTAGTGGAGTACTAATAAATTTCTGTTGTTTTTTAGGGTTCTTATTCGGCGGTAGGCAAAGATAAGAACGGATTTAGGCTGAAGGCGAACGTAGGCAAACAGTTGTGTCTAAGCATCCGGCAGGTATCAGATAATGGACCCCATTTGTTCATCGAGCGTTGTTTTGGAGTGCTAGTGGCTGCTGGAAGACACGTCAAACATTCTGACATGAGACTGTTGGAAATGGTAAGAATATAATGCATTTTTACATTTGTTTGTCAACATTTACTACATTCTTATATTTTTCATGGCTTCTGTCAGCATATTTTTACATTTTTTAATTCGTCTATCAACAAGTCTTAGGTATTTTTGTTCTGAAAATGTTTTTTTTTAGGTTTTTGTTTCTATTTTTCAAAAGTTTTTAACTTTTCCTATTTCCTCCCAACATTCTACACATTTATGTATTTTTTAATTCGTCTATCAACATTTATAACATTTCTTTTCGCTCTGTCAATATTAAACATTTTTTTTCCAATTTTTTTAATATCCTTTAATATTTGTCCTTTTTTTTTAATCTTCTGCCAGTTTTTCTACATTTTTATATTTTTTAAATTCTAATACTAACAAGTTTATCAACATTTTTTGCTGTCAACATTTTTTGAATCCTCTAGTAGCATTTTTTCTACATTTTTATATTTTATAATTCGTCTACTGTCTTCTTTAACTATATTTTGCACTTCAACTTTCTTTCACATGAAAGACATTGACTGACATTTTCAAATTTTTATAATTTTAAATTTTTTAAACATGTACGAACATGTTTGACCAGTCTTTTTGTTTTCAAAAATTTCAAAAGAAGTTTTTTCATTGCTAAAATAATTAATGAAGTTTTAATAAGCTTACAGCGCATGCGTTGGATATTTAAACGTCATTAAGATGACTTGCCTATGAGTTAAATATAATTTTAAATGACAAACAATGTTTTTCGTTAATTCTAATAATATTAGTTCAATTATAAAAGCAAAAGTCCTTGTTTCATTGTTTAAAATTGTATTTAAACATTTTAAATTAGTTTCCCAATTGAAATTACTTGCTCAACTTTTATTTTATCTATGTGCACAATGAATGAGATAAATTAAAACTTTTTTCACCAATTTTGCTTAGGATCTTGAATCTGAGCAGTTTGCGGGGTGTTAAGTTAATAAAAGAAGCTATTTTTGCCGGCATTGTCACTACTTTCATAGCAATTATTCTCTTTCAGCAAGAACAGACTGCTTCCGGAGCAGCTGCGTCACACGAGCGGAACTGTACGTTGATATCTGCCGATTGGGACCCAACGGAAGACAATTTTGAGCTACTGAATACCGAAACCCCGAAAGATTTCAAACAGTTCATGACCGTGGCCGTTGATTTGGTCATTAGAGGCATACAGGAACCGGTGAGATTTTTAATCGAGACTCCTGTTCGAGTGCATTCCCAAGGGGAGAGGACTTTTTGGTATTTCCAAAGGAAAAGTCTGGTGCAGCAGTTTTTCTTAAACTTAAAAGAGGTAAGTGCCATTATAATATCATTTGAATTTTAAAAATATTTGTCCTACTTCTGCTTTTTAAATTGCAACGAAGTTATATGTTTACTGGCAATCTGGAAACTGATAATCTGGATATCAGATTATCTTTTCGCAGTTTTAATGTGATGCTAATACATTTTTGGGAGCAGTTTTATTAAAAATATAAAAATAAATGAATTTACGCATTCGGATTTATAAATCACTCGGTATATGATGTTGCATATATGTAACGCTAGGAGCTAATGGATGCAAAACATACAAAATATATCTGTAAACAGTTTTATTTATTTATACATTGAAAATAATGAAAAATGAATTTAAACATTTTGGTTTGTGAGATAGGTAACGAAACAATCAATACAGAGACCTAAGTTACATTTTTTATACATCGTGGTGTTGAACTTTTGCAAAATCTTCCAACACAACGTCTTCTTTTGTCGTTTGGAATTTTATCCACTAGGTGTTCCATCCTATCATATCTAATTTCATCGGCTACCCTTTGCGCATTAAAAGTTTTAGATGTAGTCCTGCCAGTGCCTTTGGGAGATGACGAATATTTCTTCAAATAAACTTGCACGATAGCCCTTCGAAAGTCTATTTGGAACATCTGAGAGTTGTTTGATGTTCGATACAAACACCACGCCTTATTCACTGAAACATTAAGAAGCTATGTAAACAATGCCCAGTACCATTTTCTGTTTTTAATTAGAATCCTGTATTGTCCAACATTCTGATCCATTCGATCAGTATCACTCATTTTTTTGTTATACTCTGCAAGTACTGCTGGTCTGCTAACTTGTATGTGTTTTTTTCCTTTTGCGAATAACGTCTAACATTTATTATTGGATTGATGCCACATCTATTTGAAGCAATGCAAACTACAGAATTGTCGGCCCACTTAGGGAGAGCACCCACCGAACTGGCATGGCAAGTAGCAAGTAGCGCGCGTCTAGCATGTTACTTAAAATGTAACCAATGCAAACTATTGATTCAGCGCACACCAAAATGACAGTGACAGTGGCGTCATGCAGCTGGCTTCGTCACGTTATTAAAAATAGAGCTTGTTCTACGTTTTGCCACGTGGTATTTGCATTTTGCATGTGTGTTAGTAAAAAAATGTAAATATGGAAGACAGTGCAGAATTTAATATTCGTTTTGTCTCATTAATTGAGAAATTTCCAGGTATCTATGAAAAGACAAGTCCGGCATTTTTAAATTCTTTAAATACATTAAATCTTCTATGCCCTTTATAGCATCATGCATAACATAATCAATTGGCATACAAATTAATATTCAAGGTCAGGTCGCTCATGTCGGAGACGTGGGCGTGGTTCTTTCAACCATATAGAAGCTGTGTATTATTTCTCAAATCCAAATAGACAATGCAAAATTAGAATTTATTGTCGGGCACCATCCCTTGGTTTATTCTCGAAGGGAGACGAGACAAAAAAAAATAAAATTTTAAAGAAGAAGATTTTACGACAAAACTATACTTTTATTATTTCTTTGTATGAACAAAAACATTATTAAAAGATTCTACGTTAAAAGTTACGTCATTCCAGAAATATATTAAAATACTAATTTGTGTTTACAGTATTCAATTACCATGAGAAGTGTTTATACAAAACTAATTTTAAAATCGTGAAAGGTACACAGAGTCTAGGAAAAAATACAAAAAAAAAATAATAAAAAAAAATAAGCAATTTCATTGATAGTTGTACTGATGGACCCCACCCGTGGGAAGGAGGGTTAATATGATGAGCTTAACTCAGGAATAAAAAGCAATAGTAATCTTATGCTTAGGGAAATAATTGAAAGTGGTGAGGTTAATTTAAGAACTACGAATTAAACTATATAAATTAATTCGACGACGTAATGAAACTTTAATAGAGAAAGTACGTCCCTGGCAAACATCCAGATAATCAACATCCACCCAGTATCAAATCTACATAAGTCTGTTATCTTGACAACAATAAACAATTCGATCTCTAATCAATTTCAGTCAAATAAATATTTCTCTTGATGGAATTATTTTAAGTGGTGATGTTATAAATTGTCGTCGAACGTCAAACATCCCGTAATATTTTTATCATATTTGTTATGTAATTTTTTGTAAACAAAAACATTTTTCGGTAATTTTTTAATACGATATGACTGGTTGACAAGAAAAAATGACGTTGTTGTTGTGGATTTTAATTAAAGTAGAAAAATACCATGTATAAAATAACTGTAGGAGGGTGACGGATAATGTTTTGATATATATTTTTCTTAATAATAACAACACGATCAGTTACTAGGAAATTTTAAAAAATAATAATTTACTGTAATTTAAAAATTACTTTATTATTTGGTCAAACACAAGAATCATGAATAAATTTTGAGGAAATACGGATACAAAACTATTAAAATTTCATAACGAGAAATTATTTATATTACAGTGAACTTCTGGTAATCCGTCCGCATCTAGTCTGTCGTCTTGTGTAATCATTTGAACAATGACATTTGTTTCACAATTTGTAACTTTATCCGCTACGCCATGATTTTTCCTCGTCAAGATTGTCCAGATCGTGATCTGTGAAAGGCTGAAGTCCGCCACTCACGTTCCATTGCTACACGTGATTTTTGCCCCCCTCTGCCCCCTTCCGCTAATATCGTTATCTGACATGTAAACCTCATCGATTATCTCGGATTCTCTTCTACGCTCTCATGGACAGCAGCGATTTTTTCGGCAGATCTTGCGTATCGTGTGGGTTAATTATTGTTTACTGAAGTACTGAGCGCACAGTGATGCCACATGAAATCGAATAGAAAATGAGCATCAATTATTACTTCATAATTTTCAAATCAAAATATTCCGAAAATGGTGCACAGTATCGAGTTTTACCAAGAGTACCTTTTTTGTGTAAAATTGAATGATGTTTAAGTTTACTTGAAATTTTGATCAATAATTATACTCTTAAAAAAGTTATATTGACTAATATTTAGTACGATCCATGTAACTAGCGCCCTCTGTGAGAATCAGATATAAAAACAAATTCATGGGATGTATCAGCTTCCAAAACATATTCGTATACAATTTCATTACAATGTTGCCAGTAGTTTCGGCAAAAACTTAAAAAATGCGTAAAGTTTTTTTCCTTAAACATCTTGAAAACGGATGGCGTTACAAAAATTTTTTTACTAATCAAACCCCAATTATTTTTCAGTTTTTTACCTACCCTAGAGACGGGATTACCTTTTTTTGAAACACCCTGTATGTAAATGTTTTTATCGTTCGTGTAGTTTATTCGAAACGAGCTGTTACGGCCCTGCATTTAGTTATTCCATACACTCAAAAATATCGACAACTTTGAATAAGTCTACTGATATAGCAAAAAATACGTTATCATACTAATAACTTTAGATTTAATCGTTGTGTTAGTTATTTCCTTGACTTGACAGTTGTGTGAATGGTTTTGTTTTTAAATAATTGTCGTTTTACAATGGAAATAGGTGAAAATTATTCAAACTTTGATGTTGGACCAATATATTACGTGACGGGTAAGTTTTATTTTAAAATAAAAAATTCAGTATTGAACTTACAGTCATCAACATCAAACAAAATGCTATTTTTGACTTTAGTAAAGACTTTTCACGATTATTTAAAGTTTTCTTTATGTCAACACATGTTTTCTCCAGATAAGTTGTTGGATCTTGGGAATTGGATTGACTCAAGATTGGATCTTGAATTTTATGGACAAAAGAAGTGTTTAGGATGACTTCTTCTACAGCACTACAGCCCAAATTGAGCCTTGGCTTCTTTATTTTTTGCCTCCACCCTTGCTTGTCTGTGGCTGATCTTCTCCATACACGGACTTCTAAAAGGGCTTGTCCTTTTACTGCGTCGCTGTTTACTGTGTCTTCCCAACGCTTTCTTGGCTTTCAAACCGTCTCTTTCCTCGCATTTTAGCGTTGAGTGCTTTCTTTCTAGGATTCTTATCACATGTCCAGCCCATTGCAATCTTTGTATTCTAAGTTTAGGATGACTATGGCGTTTCTTTTTATCGGCGGGAAGAATGCCTAGATTTTGAGTTTATTGAAGATTTGTCAGGGTTTTCTCTCGGATTGATTAATGTTTGAGGAAGTAAATTGGTGATGGCTTCTTCAGTTTGTCAGATGATTGTCTCAATTGGAATGTGACTTGGGATAACAGAGTACATAATAGAAACATGTTTGAACACTAAAGGTTGAACAGCAGTAGAAATGGTTTCAGAATCAGAAATAATTCTGAACCAGTGTGGTGGGTTTCAAAGGGGGAGTATTTTGAGTTTGTTGGGCGATTAGATGTGCTAATTTGCATTAGTTCGAGTGGTAAATTTAGACGCTGTGAAGATTTGACAATATTGTTATTTACTTAATATTTTAATGGAAACATTTATTTTCGGTAATAAATTTTGTGATTATTACATTCTTTTTGCTGTTTATTATCTATTATCCGTTCACAAATTGTTGATAGCAAAGTCATAAAACGGTCGTAAAATTTGTATCATCATAGGCGTTCCTGAGGTGTTTATTCATTAAAATTAATATTAATATTAATAATGTTTTAATACTAATATATTTAGCAAAAAACAATTAAAACTTTCACGGCTAATGTTGGTTATTATATTATATTAATAAAAATAAGAATTTAAACATTAACAATTTTGTAAATAAGAATACCTTATCTCTTTGGATATTTCAATACTAATCTTCGCGTTTAATCACTTTACTAGAAAACCTAGAATTCATATCCGAAGGTACTATTCGTTGCAAGATAATTAGGATGGAATTCCCCAGATTTTTAATAATATAATGGGTATAAAGATGCCGGCTTTGGCCATGTGCCTCGTCTGTTCAGTTTATATTCGAAACCTAACTTGAAAGGGTGAAGTTATTACGAACGAAAACAATTTTTTTGTTTAGTACGTTTTTGATCGCATGTAATTTACGGCTCGTCGGTG